AGGAAGGAAGGAAGGAAGGAAGACCTAAGAAGAATGAAACATGAAGGACTTTAAAATGTGCTGGACCAGGTGAAGGAAGAGAAGGAAGAGGAAGTAGGAGGAGAGGAGGAGGAAGAGCACGAGGAAGAGGAGAAACATGGAAAAGACGGGAAAGGGGAGGACATGAGAAAGAAGAGGAGAAGGAGGAGGAGAAGAAGAAGGAGGAGGGGAGAAGGAGGTGGGGGAGAAGCACATACAGTACAAGAAGAAGGAGGGGGAGAGGGAACGGAGGAGGTGGAGGAGGAAGCAAAGGAGGTATAGAAGAAGGAGGAGGAGTAGAAGGAGGAAAAGAAGAAGGAAGAGGAGGAGGAGTTGAAGAAACACATGAGGTACAAAGAGACAGAAAGGAGGAGAAGGAGAGGTCACTGAGGAGGAGGAGGAAGCAGAAGAGGAGGAGGAGGAGGAGGAGGCGACGGAGGAGGAGGGGCGTGGGGTGTCAGGTAAGCTCTGGCCAGCGTGTGCTTCGAACTGACAGTCTCATTTAGGGAAGTGAGCGAAACCGCGCCACCTGCCGGATAATCAACACAATATACGTACAGTGTGGCCCCTTCCCCTCTCTCTCTCGCTCACAAGTCCAGTTTTAACGCACCTTTTATTAATTTATCATCTAATTACCCATCTGAAATAACTACAAGAGAGAAGACCTTTTATAAGTAAATATTAATAAACGTATGATTTGGTTAGGGACTTGGAATCGATTGGGTTTTGTTTTGGTGTGGTAGTCATTTGTTTTTATATAAGTAAATAGTTATAAACGAAATGATTGTAAGACTTTTTAGTGATCGTCTTTTGTTCTTTTAAGTAAATTATCATAAACGAAATAATAGTAAGAGTTTTCCATGTTCGTCTTTTGTTTTTCTAATCGTTTTGTTTATTAAAAAAAATCAGGGTTAAGGATTCTGGTTGATGACGTGTTAATACTATTTAGGGAAGAAACAAAAGAGGTTTAATTTGTTTAAACACTTTTTCTTGACAATAACTCCATTTGGATAGTTTTCATTTGTTTTTATTCTTCTCTTTTATCCGTTTATTGCGATATTATTGGTAGGGGAGATGTGGTAAGTGGTTAGACCTCTCTCACCTGACACAGAGGGAGGGAGGGGAAGGGAGGGAGGGGGGGTTTCCAGCCCAGGTAAAACAGCTTGGTCGTTCCTCCATCTTCAGTGGCCACCGCTTCCCCCTCCCTCCTCCTCCCCACTCTCTCCCACTTCCTCCTCCTCCCCACTCTCTCCTCCTTCTCCTCCCCAACACAGGCTTGTAGTAGAATATATTACAATTGTCAATATGATTCATCAATAGTCACCCTAACATTTACAACACCTAACAAAACCTAACCAAACCTATCAAACCTAACCTAATCAGCATAAAAGTGGTTAACTTTAGGTAAAATAAGCTGGGGTGGAGATTCTTCAGTGATGATTTTGTGACCTAATTTTATACACTTTTCCCAATGTGTAGTGAAGGTAACAAACTGTATACCTCATCGAGCTTCAAAGACTTACCTGTTCAATTAACCCCTGAATTATCACACACACAAATTATCACGACTAAATTTCTTCCAATCGATAATTAAGTTTTAAATATATATTCTGATTTATTTTATTGATCCTCGACACACAGGTAGACTTGTAAGTAATCAGGTGAAATGCTTGTAAATCACGTTTATTTCTCTGTAAATGCTTGTAAATCACGTTTATTTCGCTGTAAATGCTTGTAAATCACGTTTATTTCGCTGTAAATACTTGTAAATCACGTTTATTTGGCTGTAAAGGCTTGTAAATCACGTTTATTTCGCTGTAAATACTTGTAAATCACTTTTATTTGGCTGTAAAGGCTTGTAAATCACGTTTCTTTCGCTGTAAATACTTGTAAATCACGTTTATTTGGCTGTAAATGCTTGTAAATCACGTTTATTTCTCTGTAAATACTTATAAACACCTTTCTCTTAGCAGTAAAACACTCGTAAACAAATCATTATTACCCTCAAAGCATCAACAAACACAAACCAGTAAATGAGATGTGTAAATTAGTTTTGTAAATATATACATAACTCAATTTTAAACCTGACGGCGAAAATGCAATCAAGTAAATTCAACACTTTTAAGACACTAACGTAAACATCGAGTGGGTCAATATTATTTCTCTGTTCACTTGTAATTTTGACCCCTGGGAAAAAAAAGGGTCAAAGATTGCCTTTTTGACCGTGGGAAGATAAGGGTCGAATAGGGGTCTTGTTTTACCGTGGGAAAATAAGGGAATTAAGTCATCGCCTATAAAGGGATAAATCATCGTATAAGGGTTAAATCATCATATTCAAGGGGTTAAATCATCGTACTCAAAGGGTTAAATCATCGTACTCAAAGGGTTAAATCATCATACCCAAGGGGTTAAAATATCATATTCAAGGGGTTAAATCAACATACCCAAGGGGTTAAGTCATCATATTCAAGGGGTTAAATCA